ACTTATATTAAAGTTTTTCTTCATTACCCATTCAAGCCGTCTCCAGCCATTAATGGGTCTGCTGTTTACATATGCTATTCAAAATGCCATATGGAAATCAGTCTATGAGCAGGGCTAGTTGCACTGTACTTCACTTCAGAACTAAAGGCAATCTTAAGTGCAATAGACACTTTCAACCCCAACATTGGTAAACATTTCAATTTTGGTCTGGCCATTATATACAATTTGCCAGCAGCTATCCTTGCAGTGAATACAATTAAAGACTCCTTGTCTATATAAATCCAACAGAAAGCCTAACAACAGCATGAAAATTTTATGAAATGTATACTCTATTGGGTGTTAGCACATGTTGCTTAAAGGTAATGAGACAACTCACAAACTAGGAAACATATCAATGTAACTGTACAAGATGTCAATGCTAAGAAGACAAAGAAACAGTCTGTCATATCCACCAGCAGTTGATTATTATTCATCCCCAAAACTCAAAGCTACTCTTGTTCAACTGAGGACAAGTCATGCACATGGTCTTAATATTCAGTCATATAAGACAAAGTTATACTGATCCTGCAAACAATGTCACTTAGCTCAGAAAACACGGTTACGAGTCATAGTAAAGACAAAGAAAAGAGAAATTTCAAAATGAAACCCTTCCAAACTCCTCTTCACCAGGATTCTGTAGGTGTTGTAAAGTTTGTTCTGAAGATCGATAGTCTAATTTAGTTAATAAGATGTGACAGCAACAGTGCATTTACTCTGTATGTTTTCTGTTCAAAACTATTTTAACATACATGAAATTTGACATTCAAAATGTGAGAAATCTATAATATTTTTCAATCTAATTAGAATTGCTAATATTTATCTACCATAGTTCATTTATAAATTAAAGAGTCTGTTTGCCTGAAACTAATAAATTGTATTTTTCTAAACAAAAAATATTTCAGAGAACCACTTTAGTAAAAATATCTTTGGTGTTTGCCAAAATTTGACATTTTAATGGTTTCACTGCTATATCTGTCAACTTGTATCATTGAGAAACAAGTTACTTTATCAAACTCTTAATCTTCGTAATCACATCACTACAGAAAATTACTTTAATTCAATGTTTCATTTATAATGTAACTACCAATACATGTTTCACTAGTAACTATACAAATCTTATGAATTGATTATCTATTCTCAAGCCATTTTTTGTGTTTCTTTGACAATATTTACATTAGCCTTTGAAGAAAATAAAATATTTCTTGTATATTTCAACTACATCAAACGTTTTACCAGCATGCAATAAATACAAATATTCAATTATTAAGTTCAATTTTTAAATCACCTGCAAAATACTTTCATTACAAAAACAATCCATTATCAGTGAATGAAGTTTCACAAGAAATGTATAATAAGGTGATTCTTATTAGCAGGTAAAATTTCAGGTTAAAAATTCTAAAGTACTCACCCCCTAATTTTGTTCCAATGTACAAAAAACATTACGTGTCAAACTTTATCTACTTTGAACAATATTTAGAGGTTGCTCAATGAGATGAAAGTTCTAAACTGCAGTAACCTATTACCATATGTACTATGTAATATAAAAACATATTTTTTATGTATTATAAATGATTTATTTAAAGTACATTATTATTTTATTGCATGTTTAATGGTATAATTACATAATTATATGACTTTGGTGTGGATAGTCTCTTTTGCATTGTTATTGTTTCTTTTTTGCTGTTAGGAAAGATTTTTCTGTGATTCGGCATAACTGGAAAAAGGAATTATTTCTGTTCTTCTTTCACTGTTATGATGGCATTATACTCCTCAATAAGGGCCACACTCCTTTCAGCATTGTCACTTACCACATTCAAGTGTTGAACTGTCTGAAGTGCCTCTCTGATATCCCATGACTCTGAGTCATAATACAGAAATCCAGGTGGAATTTTGAAGCACCTCAAGAAGTCTGTTGAGTTCTTTGTGATGTAAACTTCAACTGAAATATCTTCAGACTTCCTGATATCCAGTTGAATGCACTTTGGAAGTTTATCCTTCCTTCTCATTTAATGCCTTTACCATTGCTCATTTTGTCTCTGTGGATAAAGCTTGATTAAAAAATTCCAAAAGTAAGGAAATGAGATACCATTGATGTCTAGTAAAATTTTAACAAGCAGATTTTGAAAGAGCAGAATTCACCTTCTTACACTTAGCAAGGCACTGTAGGAAGTTAAAATCATTGTGAGAAGCAGAAATTGTATCAGGAGCAGCAAACTATAACCTAAGATAAACTTTAGCAACAAAGTTGCAGAGTTTGCTTTCCTTATAGCCAGTGATCTCAAACTGCCCCATAAACATCTAGATCTAGAGAGCATATAATAACTTGGCCGTCAATCATACATGATGCAGTGATGCTTCAAGTGCTATAAATTGCACTGCACAAGAAGGGATGCCACCAAAAGATGTTATGGCTAGTTTAAGAAGCTCTCAATAATCTTCTCTGGGCTGAATGACCTAAAGTCGTCTTTTAGCAATTCTAGAAACTACTATCATATCATACAAAATATTCTGGAAGTAAAAAGTGACATCATGGATTATTTATATATGGAATGTCCTTGAACATTTTGAATAATTTGGAATACTCTGGAATATTACAGAATATGATACAATAATTCAAAATGTGCTATAATATTCCATAATAATATGCTAAGACATTCCAGAATAATCTAGAATATTCTGGTACATTCCAGAGTAATTGTAATATGCAGATATAATGCTAGCTACAAGGTAAAATTTTTAACTACTTTGAACAACCCCTAAATTTTATTCAATATGGATAAATTTGGTGTGAATTACTTATTTATATATTGAAACAAAATGAGGAGGTAAGTGTTTTGTAAAGCTTCAAAAATAAGAACCACCCTAATGTATAATGTCCTAAGAAATATACAGGAACCAAGAACCAATTTTTTTTTTCCTAAGATATCTTAAAAATTAACTTACCAAATATGAAAACAACTCCTATTAATAATGCAAGGGCCCAGACAACATTTCTCTGGAATAAGAACAAAAAAGATAGTAATAGGTAGAATATATATTTTTACACTTTTATAATTAAAATGAATTTCAAACAGGTACTTACTTCTTAAATATTCAAAGCCTTTCCACAACTTTGGTGAGAAACCAGAGCTTATGTAAGATAGTTTGACATTTATACAATAAGTCATTGGAAGGTGGGAGAGCAGAGAATTATGGGTAAGTGACACATGATCTGCAATGTGCAAAGGACACTCAGAAATTTTTAGTCACAATGTTTTGCTGACAGCATAAATTAAAAGACAACAAGGAAAAACTTTCAGTACTTCAGAGCGGAGATAAGTCTACCTTATTTGACAAATTTATTATTTAATATAATTTGTTGCCACTGGTAAAAAACACCAAAAGAAAGAGACAGACATGTTAGTTTGGTGACAATACTTTCAGTATCCTTTCTTCAGATGAATTCACTAGGCAACGTAGGTTAAAATGCATGACCACATTACAACAATACATATACACATGAACTCACTGGTCAAAATATTAGAAACTCTAACCTAATAACGTGTTGGACCACCATGTGCCTTAATTACAGTCTGAATATGAAATAGTTTTGACCTCATTAGTGTCTAGAAGGTGTCTGTTTAAACCTTTCCAATCTAAGTAGAGTTAACTGTAAAGGACTATGTCTCTTGACAGCTTATTCTAAAACATCCCATAAATTGTTATGTGGATTGTGCAAGCCAGGGTACATTTTGAAAGCTTGTATCATGCTTAGTGAACCAATCATGAATGATTTAAGATCTATGGTGACATTATCATTCCAAAAGTAACCATCTCCTTGGATAAAAGTAGAGCACTTCAAGGTGCACCTAGTCAATGGTGATAAATTGTTTATTATCAGAGATATGACCATTCAAAGGAACCAGCACATGCATTGTAAATGAACCTCACAATATTACACTGCTTCCAGTACCTGTAACTCTGTCATCATCGCACATCCATATAAAGCATGATTTACTTGACCACGTTACACAGTTACGTTTAGCAATGGTCCAATCTCTAACTTAAAAATCTGCAGTCTTTCACAAAAATTACTAACTATGTTATCAGTACAATGTGTTCTTTTTTGTTTGATTTTTTTTTATTTCCTAGGATACTTTTGTTGTTAATTTTTAAAATTAATAAACAAGAGAAAATAGGGAAAAACAATGACATGTAACCGATTTCCATGAGAAAATCTGTCTTTGATTATCATTAAATGTTTTGAAACCCATTAAATTAGTCTGTATTGTTTTGACAATTCTGTTTCCCAGGAGAGATAAATAATACAAACATGAAATTAATTAATTTTGTTAACTAAAAGAACCCTTTTCTGGCCTTCTGTCTATAAAAGTGATTAATTATAATGTTTAAGTTCACAGTGCAAGCTAAGTGACTTTAAATTGTCAGCATTCCTAGATCAGTCTTGGGCAGTAATGGAATGCAGATAATTTTTAATCAGCTTCATCTTTCTCAATGATCATTCCACTTCTGCAATGGTGACTGAGATAGTTAAAAAAATAGAGTTTTGGAAGACTGTCTTAATGAAATTACATTGATTGGTTTTTATATTTTTAATTACAAGTTGTTAAATGTAGACTGAACAGACCTTTTTTGCCTTCTTCAGGACCCCCCCTTTGAGGCCATGGGGCATGAATGAAATTTTACCAGCATTTTCACCTTCTTTGGGAGGAGGGGGGGGGGGTGGCTTATTCACATATTATAGCTCTCTCTTCCAACCACAATATCCCTTATTAAATGATGTTTTTGATATGATAACCATGCAGTGTAAATTTGGGACAAAGCTTGATAAATCTTTCATCTTTCCCAGTATAGTGACAACTGATGCTCACACAATTTACTGTCAGAATTTATATACCCTTGGTGGTTTTATTTGTCTAACAAGTAAATACCTACTTTGTACAACCATGAAGTGAGGACTATTCTATTCTACAGGTAGGGGTTTCTACTATTTTTTTTGTTATCAGAATACAGGTAAAACTACACTGTACAAACTTGTAAGGAGAGGTTTACAACAATAAAATAAAGTTACATAATACAGTTTCAAAAAATAATAAAATTATCTCATACCATAAGTGAGCAATGAATTTGTCTGGGCTACCATTTATTAACTATCTCTTAATATGACTTTTTTTTAAACAAAATCCTACCAGTGATCCTTTTGGTTCCCTTACATAGGATTAAGAATTACGTAAGCAAAAGATGTGGTTCTCTTCACATTTTTACACAGAAATAAAATAGTTCTTAAAGTAATACAAAGGTTGAGTGTCTATGTTTAAGTGATGTAGAAGTCTCAACATATCATTATAGTCTATATCACCATGTCTTGTCATCCTCTAACAATTGTGCATCTTAACAATATCCTTGCAGTGTAGTTTTCATTGCAAAAGGCTCCTAAATAATCCTTTCATGTCCAAAGCACACTACCCCTTCTTGATGCTTTTCATAATCCATCTAGTCTATGAGGACAATGGTTTCCCTGTGCCTAATTCAACAGTATGATCACACAGAAATCCACAGCAAACTTTACTGATTTTTTTTTTTATGGAATAACATGACTATTCAATTTATTCTTCAGCTGCTTGTGGTATGCAACAACTAAATGCAGGGTATGACTGGAAGTCTTATTTTACGAACTCATACCCTGTTGGCCTTGTTTTCAACAGAAATCTTTCTTTATTATGTTGTGTACTGTTGTCTGAAATACATGGATGGCATTTACTTAACTCTTACTAGATGCTGCACTTTGCTTATCACGGCTAGAATATGACTTGTTGCAGGTCTCTTCCTAAATTGTCTTTGTGTTCTAAGTTGATCCATATTTCTTTCCTTTCCAATGCCATTAAGAAGTACAATATATGATAAATATATGATCTGAATACAAATACATCTTTATGATCTGAGTATATGAATATTTTGTATCAGAAAGAGCAGTTACATACTCTTCCCACGAGCAATCAATTTTTGGTGACATCACATTACCTACAAACCACCAAACAATGTCAAAATGTAGTTCTGATACATGCCATTCCACCACAACTTTAAATTGGCTGTAGTCTGTCAGCTGACTTACTGATTTGTATACTCAAAATTATTTTAATATAACCAACTCAACTTTCCGTATCACACATTTTACATCATCACCTGTTGCAAGGGTGGCTCTATTGATACTGTTATCTTTACTAAACATAGAGATGTGAATGTGAAATAGTTACCAAAATCCACATGTTTGTATGAAATTACAGTATGGAGTCTGGAATATTTTTCTTTTTTGGTCAGAAAATGTTTCAGTATCTTTGACATTATGTGAGTACTATATAATAACAAAAGGTACTCTTTGCCCCTAAAGAAGAAAGGTCTGCCTTTCGAAAACAATTGGGTTATAGGCTTTTTATCATTTTATTCTAAGAGTTCAAAAGTGGAATTTGAATCTGAGAGATGTTTAATAATACAAAGGGCTACAGCTTAATTTCTTCAGTGAATTTAATCACAAAAAAAACAATATATATTTCGCATTCAGGAGAGGCAAGAAAAACCCAAAACTTTACTTACAAGAAAATAGCTTGTACCTTCAAACCCAAGAATCTGAGGAAGAAAAAGGAAAAATAACTTTAAGATATTACAATAAATGAATGAAGAAATAATACAAGATTGCTCATAAATACCCACAACTAAATCACTGAATTATTTGTTACATTCAAACTGTGATTTTCAAAACTGATAATCAGTCACTAAATTAGATCACTTTATTGTTAATATCTTGATTATAGATGTTATATTTTTCACTTACATTACCACCAAGTGAGGCCATTATATATGTACCTTCCTCCCAATAAAATATATAAACAACCATCTCATCTATTGTTGAAATCGATTAGAACAAAACAAAATAGGGGTCATAACTTATTTGCTTCAAAGATTTAAAAATATCAATTTTTATCAGTCATTATGATCACTTGAAGAAAGTATTCATAAAAACAACATCTAGCTTTGAAGATAAAAGAATAGAAAAAGGCTTAGTGCTTTATAGCATTGTTACTCTTTTTATAATTACATTTACCATTAAATCTTAAAACCAAAATCACATGTAATGTGAATAGTTAAAAGAGAAGAACAAATCATCACAGAAGTTAGATGATGTTTGGTTTACAGGCTAAGAAGCAATATGACAGCAGGTTTATATTTCTGAAAAAGCAAAATTGGTTACACTGGCTAACATATATTTATAAAAAAATTAAAAACATATATTTTGTTCTGAAATTTATATCACAGATCATCATACCTCCCAATACTATGAGCAGCCTAAGTCACTTTTAAAAAAGTCAACAGCCTGTAGCTTCGTTTTTCAAATTGTGGTGTGTATGTAATTACTGTTGTACCTTAATGCAATCAACTGAAAAAAAAAATTGCTCGAAAACTGATGTGTATTTTTCTTTTTGATAAACCTAAGATATAAATTAAACTACTTGAACATTTCAATTTATATTATAGACTGACAAAATATCTCACTTTAAAGAGTTTTATAACTGAATCTTAACTTCTCTTTATATTCAATACATAATGATATATATGAAAGTAGAAAAATAAAACAGCAAATAACAATTCAAAGTAAATCACAAGGTAAAAAAAACAATAATCAGGTACTCATTTTTTATAGAACATAAAATGTTTACTGACCTCTGCCCATGAACGTTCTTCAATTTCAAGATCTTCTCCTTGGCTATGCACACTGTTTTGATCTAATAAAATCAGAGGGAACAAATAAAATATATGAATGTTCCTTAAATAAAATTTAATCACGACACAAACAATATTTTAAAAATAATATTAATGCTTACCTAATGTAATAAATTCTCTTTGTATATCAAATTAACTAAATCACAAAAAAATTTGTTTGACACCAAATAAAACAAATTTTATAGAATAACACTGACGTTAGAAAATTTACTGCACTAAATGTAAATAACTCAAAATTTTAATTTTCGTAAAAATTACTAATATGTTCTTTAAAGCTAAAGCTACTGTTTTTAGGGCTTTATCTGCAGCTATGTGAAATAACTGTAGAAAATGAAAACAATATGTATATGGAAGAAAGAAAGTTTTTTTTTGTGTTTTTCTTCAGAGATTTTAAGGTATAAGAAGAAGCACTGTACCTTATATTCTGATTTCCTACAGTTTGGTGTGATAAAAGGATTACATACCTACCACAGTAATGACTAGCAAAGTGTATTTGTATTTCATTAATTCCTGAATATATTTTTACAATTTTATTTCCAGAACTTTCCAATTGTGTTTCTTGACTTCAAGAAACGTTTGAGATTTATATAAACAACAGTGTTAAATAAAATTCAAATAACTGCTAAACATAAAATACAAGTTATTTGAGATTATATTAAGAAAGTTCAGTTCATCACATTACTAATTCTTCAAATTTATTTCTGTCAACTGGACAACTACGAATTGGTTGTAGATGTGATAATGATCTAAATTGTAACCCAGCTAAGAATAGAACAAAATAATGAGTTATTGGAAATTTTTGAAATATAAAGGAAAATGTAGGAATCATATGAATAAAACCAAATAAAGCCCCACATTTTATTACACATGTGAAATTTTACAGTATCTGACTAAAATTAACTATTTATTTGAATAAATCTACGTTTTACAGTATATTGCTTAAAAACTTTTAAACATTCACTTTATAGAAATATATTTCATGCTTTTTTTTTGTGAGGAAAATATCTTTCAGTTTCAAAACATTTAGAAAACGACATGCATAATTTTGTGTTTATGAAAAACATTTATAATGCAACAAAGGACACTATTAATATAAATTACTTACTAAAGTACTGGTTGTAATTAGCATCCACAGTATCTTCATTGCTCATATCAGTTGTATCTTCAAATAAATCCTTAGTTAAAACAAGGAGATATTTCAGAAATGAAAATATTAGGGATGTTGCATACATAAACAAAATATAACTTTGAACAAGAACAAATATGTAATTACATCAATTAACTGATCATGAATAACAATATGTAAAACAGAGTAATGTAATCTCACTACTCTAAGAATTGTAATTTTATCATTACATACATGCAATATGTTTGACACATAAATGTAACTGTCATAAGTGCTTGAAATTAAACATTACAGCATGTTTAGGCCATGTCAATTGATATCTTGGTTATTACCAATCTAAACTATGTGTATTTTATGTTTAGCAGTTATTTGAATATTATTTCCATAAAGCTTCTTTTCCATCATGCATACGAGTACTGTACTATTCTCTTCTGATGCTCGTGAACAAGCTGTATGAACGTAACCAGATGTAGCACAACTTGAAACTGAACAAACATAACTAACATCACTTGCTCAACTCATACCTGTGTTAGAGAAATAATTGGAACAGTAGTTAAAGTTTATTCAGAAATAATTTATTTTATCATTCAAAACTTTATTTTAAAAAATCAAGTCATCCAAAAGAAGTTCCCCTCCCACCATCAGAAGAGGATAGGTATGCTAGTTTGTATGGAAACTCATCAAATAACAACAGAATTGGCATGAATACAAGCTTTAGTTGGAGGCATAGAATTTCATGCAACATGCCAGCTGGAGATGTAAAGATTTGTGGAATTTTTTTTTATCCTTGTTTAATTTAACCTGGTACTACAGAAAACTATTACTTTACCATATTATATAGGAAATTGTGTTCCACAATCTCTAACCATTCAGGACCTCCTTCTGTACTGATATGTACCTGTAGATAAACCATGCTGAAGAATCCGAATAGAACACACAGTATTATACTCCATCCGATCAGGATATCAGTCAAAATATTCCCTCTAAATTGTAGAATAAAGAACTGCTTCAAAGATATATATATATATATATTAAATAGTTCAACTCTAGCTATAAAGCTGACTTTAATTTTTTAACTGACTAAAGATATTAACAATGAATAAATAGGTATTAGTATAGGTATTATTAAGTGATCCCAATAACAAATTATGCAAGAACATTTCATGTAATATGTTAACACTAAGTTCATGACATAACCAGGCCCAGATTGACAGTAATTCTAGAGTATGCAAAACTCAGAAAATTTCTCAATTTACTAAATGTATGTTAAAACAATAGCTGTGGAACAGAGGTTTCATTCTGTACAGACAAAATGTCAAAAATTTCTTTATTTGAGAGTTATTCAATATTCTTGACACCTCCTTTAATAAATTGTTTTCCATTTTCTGGCCAAATGTCAATGACTTTTTGTTTAGCTTTTTCCTGCTTGAACCTATGTTTCCTATTACTTCCAACTGCAACGTTCAAGATTTATCAAGTGTAATAAATACAGTCAAAACAGATGTGACCACGATGATATATCTAATATGAGAAAATTATCAAAGAAAAGAGAGAAAAGACAATTACAAAAACGAATCCAAAGAAAACTAGATGTGAAAGAAAAAAAGCTCCTTCTGCTTATTCTTCTTTGAGAGATAAACTGCTGTTTTATTGGATCATGAAAATAGCAATTTGTTAATGTAGCTCATAAAAGACAAAAGTAAGGATTGATGATGGGCAGCTTCAGCTCATGATGCAATCAAATCAAGAATATCCCCAAAAACTTCAGGGTAAAAAAAACTATGTGAAGATCTCATAGAAAAGAAAAAGTAAATTGATCCTGGGAAAGGAGTGTATCCTTACCTAACAATTCCCAACAACAAAGAGCAAAGTAAGCAGGAAATGGAAGAAAGAAAAAGTGGAACAGGCTATACAGGAGAAGACAAGGGAACTAGAATTGCCTGTAAAATCCTCTAGAGCAAAGTGGAGTGCATCATATTTAAGGAGAGGCGAGATAATAAATATTATGGTAAGAAGGAACATATGAAGAAGGGACATTGAAGGACAAAACCAACACCTATTAGTCTACTTCCAAACAGTCAACAGAGATTCCAAATTTTAGGAATTCGAGAAAAGGAATTCAGAATGGCTGAGATTCAGGATATAAGAATCAGATAAACAAGGAGAGCAAAGGAAGAGATTGTGAAAATGTAGTTGGTCAACACATGCTAATATAAGGAAGAGGTAAAATAAAAAGTAATTAGAGTTAGGATTAGGAAGAAGGGAAAGAGAAGAAACACATGACACAAGGGAAAGAAAAAGAATGGTACATACCTGTGGAATTATGACCTGATCATGTGAGAAAGTTTGAGGGTTCTCTTCAACAGAAAGAAAGGTTTCCCAAGCATAACTAGGAGGAGAAAACAAGCAGTCAAATTCGTTCTTATCGGGGGAAGGACTGCTTGAAGAAGGGATTGGAGCTGAAAGTCCTGGCTACTTAAGGGAACCCATTACCCTATGCACAATAGCTGTCACATTATCCACATTCAGTGAGCTTCCATAAGCCATAGTTGGTATATTATCTGTTTAACGAAATTGTTCACTCACACAAGCAGTAGTAGGTGTTACATGAACTTGTCAGTTCGTAGTTTATAGAACAAAAGGAAGTTTCTTAAATAACATCATTATACATTAGTGCAATACATAAGATTAGGTGAAAGTTGCCTAAAAGAGGCTACTGGCAAGCAAGTCTCTAAAGCCGACTCATGGGGAAGATAGCTTAACTGTGTGTAGAGGTGTGTGTCATCTCAGATCTTTATATATATACATATGTTTTCCATACATTCAAGAATATATATATATTTATATTCTTGAATGTTTGGAAAAACGTTTAGGTAAAGACAGTTAAATATATTAAGATATTCTTTATATATACCTGAACTGATTAAGGTTCTTTAATCACTTTTTTGCAGTACAATTAACTTCAGTTGTGGGGATGCTGCTGTGGCATCTTTGATCACCACCAAGTGAAATTTAAGTTTTTAAAATAATGGGTAAAAAATGCAACAAGTTTTGTTCTTATTTTCATTCTGTATTGCAATACTGTTTTTCTTTCTTATTACTATTTGAGTCTTACTTCCACACATGGAAATAAACAGTTTCAACAGTCACTTCAAAAATGACTTAATTGTTTGATCATGTTTTATTGCCATTTTAAATGTTAATGTTTCATCTTAGCAATTGCTAGAACATATTTACACGATAATTCATCTCAGAATACATTTGCACGACAATTCATTAAAAGTGGTTAAAAACGAGTAAAAACCTGGTAATTGTTTAGTTCCTTTTTAACATCATTAAACATAACACCATTGTTTAAAAACGATCCACTCATACTCACATTTTAACTACTTCCATGGGTAGCATCAATGTAGTATTTAATGATCCATTGAACATAAATGTAGAAATCCTTGCTATAAAAGCAAAATATATATTTTATATACTTTTATTTGGATGTTTTCTAACCATATTTTTTTTGTATATTCTTCTTTTTTTTATCTACTACAACTAAATCGTTTGCTAAAAAAATTAAAATGTATAGACAAAATCTTGTAGTTTAAAATCACAGGTGAGAAAAAGTGATTTTTTGCATATCAGAATGATTTAAAAACTTTTTGCATGTAAAGGCCACTGGTGCTAAAAACAGAATATTCATTATTTGAGTTTCCTACAAGGCTACAAATGATAGTGTTCTAAGAGGAATATTACACAAATATCTATAGTTTTGATTGCATCAATTTTACTTTGAAAAAATGGTGTCATAAAATAGAAAACAATTTAATAAGTACTGTCAACTAAACTAAGGTGCATATTAAATCAGTCGGGTTTCATAAGCCTATCCAAGTCACAAAATATTATGAAGTATCTTCTAACATCAAAGATCATGATCAAAAAACATTTATTCTATATAACAAGCTTATAACACAATAATAATGAGGGAGCAATGTACATATTAAATATTAGTAAATTCATTACAAAAAATAACCACTAAACTCATTTTATAGTTTGCAAAGAGAGAAACTTTTGATTATTGTTGTTTTTACATGAACTTACCAATACAAAGTGGGAGAATCCCTATCCATAGATACAGTACAAAGAACCATTTCAAAGCTCTAAATGTGAGAGTTTTTGTTGTAGAAAAAAAATATTTTAACGAACTTTTGGGAGGCATATCAGAAGAATAAACTGAAAATAAAGAAAATATTTTTCAAATCATTACCTAAGTTAAACCATATGGACTTACTTTTTCACCAACATAAAAATTTATCCTTTATGAATCATTCTTAGTGTTTGGCAATGTGTATTACACTGTAAGAACAGTTTACCTAAAGCACTCATAAGTTAGTGCCAGTAGAAATGCCAGTCAGAAAAGTACTCTTCAAATTGGGTGTTAAAAAATACCATCATTGGTCGTCGATATTTTAAATAATATAAACACTCAAAACTTACAATTATATTGAAACAATATTTAAATTTTAATTCATACCTTTTCAAACTGTTTAGCTTAAGTAGGCTTGCATGGAAGCCACTAATTATTAATACAGCAAGCAGCAATAATTTCAAAGAAAATTCTCAATTTCTTAAAGAAATACACTTCGAAGTTTTAAATAATATAAATTCATATTTAACTATTACAAAACATCAGCCTATTTTATCTTTTAAGACAATAACATATTGAGTATGACCTTTTTTTATTTTTTAGTAAATACCTGGTTGCCTTTCAGAAAGTAAAAAAAAAGTTTTATTTTCTTTTGTTTGTTTGTCTGTTGTTAAGCAAAATAGACTACCCGTGCTTTGTTCACTACAAGTATCGAAACCTCATCTGTTAGGGCTACAAGCTCTCAGACTTACCACTGAGCCACCAGCAGACATTTTATAGTCAGATATTAAAACATGTATAGCTAAATTTGTGTTTTCTGTTATTTGGTTGAAATTTCTTTATAAAAATATGTGATAGCCCTTTCTCAAAATTTGTATCATTTAGTGGCAAATATAGAAATTCCTTAAATCTCTAATAAAATGAAATACGTTCACTTATATGTGGTTGCTAAAGTTGACCTGTTTTCTTCAAAAGGAAAGGTAAAATGATGATTTTATGTAAGAAAAAAGATAAGTCTACCTGTTGAAAGTGCTAGAGTTTTATCTAGTTGTCCTCCTCCCAGTAGCTCAGTGGTAAGCTTTATGATTCAATTCCTGCAATGGGCACAGTGCAGATAGCCCATTGTGCAGCTTAGCATTTTATCAAACAAACAATATGTATGCAAATACATATACACACATGCACAGACAAAAATATTGTATGTGGGTGTGTATATTTTTTATTGTTAATTACAGAAATAAGTAATCATTTCACATTTAAACCATAACCATTTCAAATAATATTTACTTATACATTTTTTACAAAAAATAACTCAAACAACCTGTCCTTGCTATAAATAGAATTCAAAATAAAATTTGCTAATATGATAACTGCCACATCATATAATTCTCTTTTTAGGACAAATACTAAAAATTTAAATTACAAGAAAACAAACAATCTACATTATAACCTAATCCTACCATAAATAGATCTTTTTTTTTTTAAACATATCAGAAAACACTTAATGGTTAACATTTCTATCAAACTTACTTGGTACAAAAGAAAAACGATGAGTGCAGACTTCACAGAATTCATTTTTGCTGAATTTGAGCCATGTCTGTAAACTGTATTAAAATAAGAAGATATTGTTTGTACTAAAAAATTCTTACTACTGTTGCCATCTGAACTTGACATTGATATATACAGAAATAACAATTGGCAAAAGCTTGTTACAAGTATATGAAAAAAAAGGAAAATGTTTTTTTTCTTCTTTCATCACCAAAAGAAATAAAAGGCTAGCAAGTCTATTCTAGGGTTTACCATCACTGAGTTACATTATTCAAACCAATGAGAGGCAAAATCATAGTATATATGTAAAATACCCTCTCATAAACTTTAATAAGAGAAACTGTGAAACGAAATTGCATTATTATAATACTGATTTTTAAAAAGTTGCATTAACATAAAGTTTTGTTAAAACATGTGCTAAGATATTCCCAAAATATGATAAATCGACAATATTGAGCCAAATAATTTCTAGCTCTAAGATGATATTCAAGTCAAGCAAGTGGGAAAGCTCTTATGTGGACTTATCTACCAAAAAATATATTAATTAAAACAATGTGACCCTAAGTTCTAATTAATACTTTAGATTAGGTCTAATTAATACTTTAGATTAATCTTTATATACTAAAATGAATATTACGTTTGATTAAGAACTTGAAAAACATACAATGCAAAATTGTATTAAAATCCTTTTCATGATTTTCTCTTCACTTTTCTTCATCATTGTGATTGACAAGGAAAGGATATCACACTCTGACTACTAATTTCTATGCTCTACACTCTTTATCTAGACTTGGGACAACCAATAAATAGGTGACTTTTTCAGTTTAACAAAAATAAAAACTATCACAATGAAAATCATTTATGCTTAACAGTTCAAAACAACCAGTTGAAGTTATCTGTTTCAGTGAAGATATTCATCTTCTTGTTAAGGCAGCAAATAAATTAGTGAAAATGGTACAGCTCTGATCTGATTTAGTAAAAGTGCCAAGATAGAATAAACTCTGTATTCATAACCATCTTGAAAAGACCCCCCCCCCCGACTGACTTATCACTGTGACGTAGGGGGTTTGGTATATTAAGGGTTGTCTGCAAAGCAGAAAATTTCCAAGGCCCCAAACACAGAAGATTCATCGATCTCTTATGTAGGTGTGTTTCCCCAACAGGTGTGATAGATGGAACCACAAAGAATGTGACTGACACAGATTTCACACAGAATGCAAATGTTTATTGAGCTACAATGCAGACAATACAAACAGAACAAAGTACAGTGCAATGGGTAACCATGCAATACACTACCACAGAATGGGCAACTAATGGGTGTGTGTGTGTGTACTTTATATGGAAAACAAGCAGGTGCTAACAATATTTTATTAGAGAAAAAAAGACTGAGTCCCCCCCACCTGCTGCAGACCAAACTGTGAAACAGGATTAATAATCAAAAGAAAAACAATGGCAAGTTACATTACTCTTACTTTAGTCTACCTAAATAAAATAATGATTCATTCAAGCAGTGAAATCCAAGTTCCTACCTTGGGTTTCACTAACAATTACAATACCTTCACTATATAACACAGAGAATACAATCCTAACAATATCAGAGTCAATTCTCCACTAAGAACACTCATCCACATTTGGTGAATGTAAATAACCCTAATTCACTGGCAAGAAACTTATGGCACTTGCCTTAAATTTAGTGAAGTAATAGTACTTTTAGAATGACTTTAACAGTTCCCCTGAAACATGACAAAATAGAATAAAACAAGAAAACAATATGCACCCAAAGTTACATACACAATTTTACTGTGAGAACTTTAGGAGTTCTTGCTATATGTTAAGCTAAATCACTTAAATATGGCAATTAACTCTAAAGTTTCTGACATTTGCAAATAGTCATTGGTGCCTGTTAGATTAGTCGGCCAACAGGCAGTGAAGATCAAGGGCAAGTCCACCTGCAGCTACTGTCTGATTTGCCAACAAGAATAAGTGAGGAAGTTAAAGTTAGAAACTTGCTTGAGCAATGCTATGTTGCAACTCCAGGAACTATAGAAAAATGGCAAAAGTTTATAAACTTAACTTTTATTCTAAGAGCAGCTGAAAAATGTAGTACAGCTCATCACAACAGGCATGGGTCAGATCAAGCAACCATACAATTAGTTGTTTAGAATGTTAAGTTACTTAAAACATACAATTGGATGAAAAGAAGTATCACAGTGGTGAAAAAGGAGGTAAAAATTATAATCAATGATCAATCCTGGTAATCATCACAAATATAAATATTATCATCCATAAAAAATTACATTCAATAAATCTCACCATAAATCTCACCATGGTAATTTTCAAAGAATATTAACTGCTCGAAGTTAAACAAATGAACAAAACATATTACGAATAGCTATATTTATAGGTAAGTTATAATTTTGTGTAGTATCTGTGTTAAATTGATGTTATTGCTCACCTACATTATGTCATTAAAACTAATAGGCACTTGCTTGTTGTTTCACAGATATGAACTGCATCATTGACTGCTTCTATTTTTTTGACAGATATTACAGATGTTACTAATTAAAATACATAACCAGTAAATGATATTGTGATCAAATAATATATGATTTATATCATGAGTACTGCTAAAATGAGAGCTTAAAACATGTACATATCAAGCAGAAGCACGAAACAGAGAAGAAACAATGGCAGTAAATCAAATCCAATTATCGTATTGTTTATTCATCAAAGTTAAACAAAGTACATTGAGTCAATAAGCCACTATATTATTTCTGACTGTGTAACAGAGGCAATAGAAGACCGTAAAACAAAAAACTATGGAAAACTACAGGGCTTCTTTTGTGAATGTTTAACACAAGCCTATAAAAAATACATTTTTGACATTAAATGTGTGTGTTAATTTAAATATACTGAGCTTCCACCAACACATTCTATTAAAATGACATCCTCCCTGGTAATGGAGAAACAACTGAAGAGTTGTTCATGATGTACCAGGTCCAGTTTACTACTAGTATTATGGCCAATAGTACTAAAAATTTATTATATATGCAAGACTAGCCTTGAGATACAGTTAGTGGCAGTGAACAATAGTGAGACATAATAGTAATTTATAGTAGGAAGTAATATTGACATTTAATGAACAATTCAATTATTAATTTATTTTTTGTGTAACTGCTTTTATTATTTAATATACACCTGCAAAAACCATTTCAAAATATCTTTTTAACAGTGTACTAAACATATTTCTATAAATTGTTATGATTATTTAAATACAATATTATTAGATTGAAAACATTATAGTCCAAAGATTATCATGAATGGCTTCTATTTTACAAAAAAAAAAATTTACTAACGTACTTATTATTTTCTGGTTCACTCACACAATCACAACTCACCATTCTTGATGGACATATTTCATAGTCCCTCTACAAACACAAGGATAGTAAAGTGGACTTTCTAGTTTTCCTTCACTTCTACACATTCTGCAAATATCTGAAAATTATAAATGTGTAATATTACTGTAATACAATAATCATTTAGTTTTACTTCAGATTTTGTTTTTACAGATTGTACAAGCACCACAAAAATAAGAGGCTTAAATCTATAAAATGTCAGTCTGTGGCTAAAAGTACATATAGAAGCAAATATTTCCTTTCTTTAATAACCATATTTCTATATTAAGTCCAAGTTCATATTAAGCTGTTATAAAAGTAATAAATTATAGAACAGTATTGTTCCAACTTTTTTTTTACTTCCATACAAATAAGTAATGTTTTTGCTATTGTTAGTATTTGAAGCTGTGATGACCTCTGGATGTCAAGTAATAAACTTAAGAGTAAGGATTCTAGACTTTTTACACTCACAAATGCATTCTTATTTAACTATTAGAGTACTATAAACATGGACTACCTCTTACTTAGTTTCTTAATAATTTTCACTATGATGATCAGGTTGAGAAATCAGCTTGTTTTGGGTTCAAACTTGTTTAAGATAGAAGAGCATTAGCCTTAAAATGCTGGTGAGAGTGAAAGCTCACTGGTTCAATACCCATCAGATTACTTTATACATGCTATTTATACTTAACTGATTACAAAATACAGCTAATACTGTTCAACTCAGAAGTAAGACAACAACAAAAACAGACTGAAAACATCACAAGACAATTAAATTAAAGAATAAAAAAAATTGTACTTTGTGACTCAACAGTTATAATAAATATTCACCTTGATACTGATGTGACTAAGCTGTGTTCTCAGTTTAATTAAACAACACCCTTTCTTGAATACAGAGAATGCACTTATCATTAGCTTACAGTAAACTTCTAAAGTTTTAGAATGTGAATGCATGAACTACTATACCATACCCACACAAGGCATATCCTTACATTGTAAAGTCTGTGATGGAGGTTATTTGCTTAGGATTTGGTAGTACATCAGTGTCATAAAAACTGTATGAACTAAGGGTTCCAGGTTCAACCCCCACCACTCAAAACAGATTTCTTAACATCTTTATATATTATAATACACTTGAATATATATTGTGTTCCTCCCAATATATATATAATTGCATGCTTGTTTATGAATATTAGCTAATTCGTGACAGTTGCCATATAGCCTGGTGTGATATTCTGTTCCCAAACTCAGAAACTTTTGTTATCTACATTAAGTACATAAAGGTAAGCCTTTGGAATGATCTCAAAACTGATTCTTTACATGATTAATAAGAAAGGTGTCATCACTAAGATTTTTCAGAACATCTGAAATAAACTTAATAAAATCAAATGTGAGCTTATTTGTTATTCTTTCAGAAAAAATTTTTTCAGAAAGTTCTTCATTTTAATCATTTCCTTATAATAATAAAAAAAATAAAACTATAAGTGTAATTTTGTACAGTATCATGGTTTATAACCAAAATCATTCTATAGAAATAAAATTATAAATCTGTTAAGATACAAACTTTATGTTGTTTTTTTTGTTTGTTTTTTTACCTTTGAATTTGATAAACTAGGTCATATCTACCATTCAAAAAGCACAGCTGCAAAGGCACAACCTGAGGCATTAAATGTGAACCTCCACACAATAGTTTTAATTTTAAGACCAATTTTTGTAACATTGTCAGTGTCATGTAATAACTTCAGCACTATACATTTTCCATCACATACTCAACGATGTTTTTTTTTTACGTTAGCACATTACATTCTAAAACGTTTTACTAAAAGTAAATATGAGGCCCAATGATTCCTTTTTTTTTTTCTTGTCACGAAGTTGTACGGGTTTTGGAAAAAATCTGCTCCCATCATTAATCATGAACAAGTACAAATAAAAAAGAAAAACAAGACTAGGCTACATACAGTAATGGATTGTAAATTAAATCATTATGAATAAATCTATGTTTTTTGTAATGTCTTGTACTCGCCACAGAAATTCTTTATTTATAAAGAATTTCACTGACCCGCAGAATTGAGGATTCTTATTTACTCAAATTACTAATGTGCATTGGTTAGGTGTTAAGCTGTTTAAAATACTGAAAATAAATGTGAAGAATATATCACTTGATTTACCACTTGTCACTGAGTTACACCAATTTCTAGGAACTCCACATCTCGTCAGTATCCCCGAACAAGAACAAAAGAATAAGACTAGACTTTCTAAACAACAGTTGTTTCCAAAATGTTTTTACTGACTACACACTAAACCCTCTTACCTTGATTTGCGCGACATGCAATATTTTTTGTATAGTGTTTTTATGTTCTTAATTACACAGGCCTACGATGGTTTTATTGTCATGAAATTTTTACATGTACTGCAATAATTCCTGTATGCTGAATCCGAAAATGATGTTCATTTTTCTCCACCACGTACAGATATTTCACAAAACGTCATATATACATTTACATAAGTAAATCATTTTCACTGAAGTCGGGTCACATTTTGTTATGCTTAAAATCTTAACAACCATTGACTATAGATTTCTCTAGATCAATCGCGACGTGAGAGTCGTATCATTAGTTCTTGAACCCACAAGAAACACACTGTTGATATATAAACGGTTAACAGGACGCATGACGTGTCGTTTCTGGGTAATATTTGTTTGTGCGTGCACTTTGACAATATTTTTTCTTTTCATTGTTACTTATTCATCACTATGACCCAAACATATTCTGTTATATTTGTGGCAAAACATTACATAATTCGTCAAAAAAGCCTATTACGCGTATTTTGGACTAAAATTTGGGAACCAACAAAAATCATGAGTTCCACACAAAGTTTGCACTGTTTCTGACGAAAGGTTGAGACAATGGACTAGAGATAAGAAAAAGTCTTTGCCTTTTGGAATTTCAATGGCTTGGCGTGAGCCTAAAACCCATGGAGATGACTGCCATTTTTGCTCATGTAACGTGCAAGGCTACAACACTCGAAATATAATGGAAATTTCTTATCCGAACCTTTAATATGCCATAAGACCTGTTGCTCATGGACCTGATGTACCTGTACCTACTCCACCAGCGACTCTTGATACAATTTCATTTGATTCTGAATCTGATGTCAATAGAAATGATGAAAGGGATTGTTTTCAACCGGAGACGTCTGGAAATGTTTCATCAAGACATCAGGGAAATAGAGAAGAAGTATCAGGGAAGGTGGAGCATCAGCGTGATGGCTGATTAGTGCTGGCCATTGAAACGAGATGCTCCAGACGCAATACTTAAAAGAAAGACCACAACACGTAGTTTTTAGACTACAAGACGTAGATTTCTCAAAACAAAATCAGGATGAATGAGGATGCATATTAGTTTGACATCAGTGTTCTTCTCTTTTCTACAGTTTGTTTGTATTTTTGTTAACAAACGTAATAAAAAATGTTCATTGTGGTAAACGAAATGATAATTTGATCTAAGAAAGTTTTTTTTTTTCTTTCCGTATTTGTAAAAAGCCTTACGTGATAAAAAAGAATATTATTTTCGAAATCTGCGTAGTTGAATTATAGAAAATCCGTTATTTAAAACCAAAACAACTTTAATTAGAAGTTTAATTTACGTCAGGCCTGTGTTATTCTTTCGTTTGGTTGGTAACGTCTCGTCGACACCCTACGCAACTTACGTTGTCGACACACAG